TCAGTTAATACCTCGACTTCTTCAGGACCAAGTTTAAGGTTAAGAGTTAAAGAAACTAGAGCTGGATTTTCACATAGGACCCCTGCTAAAGTTTCTACTTCATTAAAACCGAGTTGATTATCAAAAAAGTCTAAGGAAGTAATGGTAATGTGTTTATAGGGAACTTTTATTAATAAATTTGATAATTGATTATAATGATTATTGATTAAACCATTGATTCTTAAATCAGCAATTTTTCTACTTTTTCGTAAAAACATTGCGATTAAAAGATAGGTAATTATTTGAACAATTTCTTCAGTTTTTCTATATTTTATAGATAAATATTTAAAATTGTGGCCTTCAAAATTAAGCCAACTTATGATTCCTTTATTTAAACCATCGCAACTAACCAAAGTGGTATAAGTAGAATAATCGAATAAAGGATTTTGATAATTTGGAAACGTTATTTTATATGGGATTAATGAAACTTGTTCTTCGGCATTTAATGCAGAAAGATAGATCTCAATAAGTCTTCTATCATCAAAATATAATAATGGTTCGCACCATAATATTGGTACAACATTTCTACACCATTGACGGTTTACAAGAAGGCAAGAGAATAAGCAACCATAATAATCACGAAGGTTTATAAGTATTTCAAAGAGACATTCATTCGGTAATGTTATCATTTTTAAAAAGTCTGAAAATATTAATTACGGATCATTACCGAATAAAACAACTTTTTTATATACTACGTAAAAACGTAACATACCCTAAAAAAATTTATTAGGTATCATACCCTAAAATGAGAACCCCAGATCTATTTACTAGTTCATTTTAGGTATACTTTTAAGAATATGTATACACATTTTTGATAAATTTTTAATCAACTTTTGTCAGGGGTTCGATGAAGCTTGGCAGTTTTATAGACGATTAATTATTAATTGATGGATCAGATGATCGATATAATTCTACCCCTTTTGATACATAACAGTTAAAAGGGTGTATTATAAAGCCAGTAATGTTTGATTTAATTTTGATTATTAATAAAGATAAAGATGATTAACATTAATATGTACGTACATGTATTATGATGGATAAAAGTCTGGTGACCAATTATGTTCATTATACCCAGCTTTAGTATCGATATTCTATCACTATTTTATCAGGTCCATTTAACAAGTTTCTCATTAAGATAACATCATAATTTGTTCAATAGATAAGGATTTTTGGATTTTTTTGTGTTATCTAAATATGAAGACATTAAGAACGTACATATTAGTAATTGTGTAAATACTAAGTTTACTACAACATTAAACGGTGGTAAACTCGAACCGCACCTCTACCGATAATGACAATAGTTTTAACGATACATTTATTAAATATATACACCAATAGCCGACAGTTACTTACGCACGCTCGTAGGCTTTTGTATTCAATTATTTTTGGCTCTTTAAAAATTTCCAAAGTTGGCTATACATAATAAAGATTACATCCGAAAATGATCAACACGGTACTTTTTTCCGTAATTATGTATGTGAAATTAGAGGGCGAAGATTTTCTTTAAGTGCTAATCAAGCCGATCCAATAAATATCAACGCTAGGAAATTACAAATTGCATTCTTATAATTTACATAGGTATTTAATCTGCGAGAGGTTTTTAGATTTCTGTAAGTTGAGCCATTTCCTGAGCCTATATACTGTAAGTCGAGAAAAAAATCTAATCACATGCTTATCATGTACCAGTAATGGTAATGCATGTTAGTCAATCAATGCCACAACAATTAGACCTACATACTGAACGTGTTGGTACTTGCAAATTTTTTATGTCAATATAATTAATTTATTTTAATGAATTATAACCATGTAAACATTACGACAGTTCATATAATTAACTGATATGGCATATAAGCATATAAACGAACGTACAAATTAAATTTTGAGCGAAATTTATTACATAACCTATTACTAGATATGCGAGATAAACTATCATGCATTCTGAGTATCGCGTATATCTTTCAATTTCGCACGAGCCATTGACAAATTCACTTTCATTATAAAAAATTTTATCTGAATATTTCCGTTATTTCTCCATATTTTTTGTGAAAACACTGAATCTACAACTTGCTTGAAAAAATCCAAACAAGCCGAATAATCTCCATGATTAAAGAAAAACATGAAATATAAAACACGGATTGACTTTTTTTTTATAGGTTTAAAATCGCAATCACCAATCTTAATGCTAAATCTAACAAATCACGCGAATTCGTACTTGTGTAGAATCTGTTTTGGAACATTGAAGTTTATGATTATCGTAAAAACGCGAAATAACGCGCAGGGGTAAAATTACGAATTTTGGCCCAAATTAAGCTTAATTTAGGCCAAATTCGTAATTTTACCCTTGCACGTTATTTCACGGTTTACGGTATGTAAAAAAGTAAATGTATGATCTCAATAATAATAATAATAATAATAATAATTTTAACCCTTTATGTAGCAATTGTAGTTCAATGACAAGTTTGAGACAAATAAAATTAAGTGGATTGATATTTATATCGATATTTCTATTAGCAAGAATAAAATAATTTATAACAAAAACTTTTTTTTTTTCTAAATTTACAGATTTATTATTTTATACAATATTATATAATGTGTTAAGCCAGTCATTAAATGATGGGAATATATGCTTTTGTATATATTAGGTCTTTATAAGAGGGTTCAAGCCATCACGTCAGCCTCACACAGCCTAATATACGATAATAACAGCATTTTATGTTTGCTAACTGCCCACTACTTCGAAATTTCTCAAGGTTAAACTACAAAAAAATTAGTTTATACGCAATCATATTTCGACCTTATTATTTATATTTGAAACATATAGTAATTATATATAAACTAGTACGTAGTAATCTTTAAATTCATCAACTTTTTATACAGATTTTTCAATAAATATTTGACAAACTTATAAAACTAATATTGCTTTATAAAGTTATCGGTCAATTTGTTGAAAAACCGCTTGCATTAAAGATTATCTCTTAAACTGTATGCGCAAATTTGCTCCTAATTTTTTTATAAACTTCTGATCTATTTTTTTTAAAATTTAAAAAATTTAAATAAATTTTACTTTAATAATAATTTAAAAATAAAGATTATATTATAGCAGTATTTTTATATTATAAAAAAAATTTAAGTTATATACTAATTAAAAATAGATAAATTTTTTTAAAAAAGTTATTTTTAATCAAAAATTACTTTTAATATTTAAACATACGTATTAGTTTTAACCTTTTAGTTTTTAATACTATTATTATTTATACAAAGGATGATAATTTTATTAATAAAATTTTTATAAAGATTTGGATTTGTATTAAGGGTAAAGGGTTTTTTTATAGTTAAAAACATATAAAAGTTTAAAAATTTTGTAATAAAACCTTTAAATAAAAATTTTTAATTTTTATTATTTGATAACTTTAAAAATTTTTTTTAAAAAGTTAATAGAATATGTTTTTAAATAAATTTTTTTGTATATAAAATATACCCATATTATTAATAATTTTTTGTTTTATTTTAAATAATTTCAAATACTTTTTAAAATTCAGGGCAAATTTGCCCCAATACGGTCTAAGGGATAATGATTTAAAAAATTGAAACATGTCTAGTATAGTCATATTTAAAATTCCTGGAATTATGCACATTGCATACGTATTCATGTAACATTTTTTATACGTATTAATTGGGTTCCTATAAACTCATTGAATAATAGGCCAAATATTTTAATAAGTTTTATATTCCGGATCTACTTGATAAATATGATGCTTTTTAATCACGTGATGAAGTAGCATACTGTAGTCATAACGATCTGTCTCTTAATTATCGTGCTCTAATTGCTGAATTGAATAATAGATACTATAATATTCATTCAAAATTTTGATTGGTGTTAATCTGTACAATTATGAGCATTGATCTCTCAACCAGTGACAGTAAGGATATGTAAACTTATTATTGTAATAAGTTTTACAACAAATATTCGGATTACCAAAATTGAAATAATTAAAATTGATAATGGCACGAGCTATTCTGATGCGTTGCGTACGTAGATCTCTTATGATTCGTATCTGAGGACTATTTGGGGAATTAAGCTTGATTTACAGTGTACTGGATGAATACATTCTATATTTCAAAATATTGTATTATTATTGTCTTTTGAAGAATAGCAAAATGATATAAAACTTTGAAGATTGGCCAAAAATATATCTGGATACATCTCTAATCCTCAGCATCTTACCGTAAACAGACATTGAGATTATCTAAGTTAAGAGGTAAATCGAAATTTAATAGTAGAATTGCCGAAAGTTAATATAGTTTTTCTATAGGATTGGAATGCAGCTAACTTACAATGAAAAGTTTCTTTATGACAAGTAAACCTTCCCTGAGTTTCTAACAAAGATTAAAGGGCAAGTTATTCCGGTTCTAATAGTGGTAAAATTATTTAAATTGGTTTGGTAGATCACGAGTTATTGACAGTATCTCCTTTATAAATACTGTTACATATTGCCAGAACTTTCGGCATTCCAACATTATATGAAAGTCATAACAATTCTCCGCCGATTTTTACTATGAAATTTACACCCTTCAGCTGTGATCTACCACTTAAAGCATATTAATGCCACTAGTTAACGTATAAATAGACAAATACTAGTTTCATTATATATATATTATGATTCTATTCGTAAAGTAACATATCTTCCGGAATTTTAGACGTTAAATTATCATCATTGGTAGACATTGGTAAACCGTTAAACAATCGTTATGGGATATTTATTACATATACTCGGAAACATGAGAGCCCGGGCCCAATCCTAATATATTCAATATTAGACTTTCTTTTTTCAACAGTACGAAAAATAAAAAATGAATGAACTACTGTAAATAGCAATACCCATTAATAAACTCAGCAAATATAATTATGCCGATGTAGCAATATTGTTCTAGATATTATCGCTGTAAAATAATCATAAAAAATGTCTAATATAGGTACGTGTATGTAGTTCGGAGTGAATCACCTTTTTACTTAAGTGGAACATGCATTTCATAAAAAATTCCAAAATTAAATTGAATTATATTGATATCGATATGTTTATTTTTAGGCACTCATTGCTCACAATAATAAAATACTACACTAAAAATGGTATTATCATATGAAAAAATAGCATTACTTAAAATACAAAAGGAGTTATATATATATATACCTATAGATACCTTGCAGTGAGGTGTCCATCAATTTTTAAACAAACAAATTGGATATCCGTTAACTATAACATATGCAAAAAAATAGACGAATCCCTATCTCTAATTTCGAGATTACGAATTAATAATAGAATTGCTCGACATTTTATGTCATTATCCATTATGGAATACTTTATTTAGCAGTACATTTATTTTACATTGTGAGTAATGAACTGCTGAATAGAGCATAGTTGATAGAATTTCTAGCTTCGATCATGCACATCAATGCATAATATTCTATAAACTTTATTCTTTTCTTAATTCAGGGCTGAAAATTCATTGATGAAAAAGGTCAAAGACCATGTGTTACAATGAAATTCCTGAAACATTAATGTTTCTAAAAAATATATATTTTTACATAATGTAGGTAATTATATAACTTGTTCTTGAGAACTTTTTCTTTTAAAATATCTAAATATCGAAAAATGCCCAGTTTGGTTAAAAACAGTCTCGTAATTTTTTCGCTTCTTTTCGTATGTGTTCTTCTGGTGTTTGCTGGTAAATTGTTTAATAAAATTATTAATATGTGCATTAATATGATCTAGCAGGCGAGAAGCACTTTTATTTATTGTTGCCACAAACATTCTTTTGTTCAGATAATAATATAAATATCATCACTCCTACTGGAAATATATACACTGGAAGTTTAATTACAATTAGTTGGCAGTTTTTTGGTCAACCATCGACACAACCTTCATCCTTAAAAATCAAAAATAAATCCACCGGTGAAAGTACTCTAATAGATAATAATTTAGATATTCAAGCTTCGAGTAAAATATGGAACGTTTCAGTACCAGAAGGCATTTATTTTTTGTCTATAACTGATGGTACGAGCGAAGGAATTTCCGGTGATTTTATCATTTCGAAAGACAAAAATTCTCAAGGTATTCAATTTTTTATTATTATTGTTTTTACTGGTTATATAAATTTTCATTTAATGCTTATAGAAATTATACCTTTAATGCTTATCGTAATTAAAGCAAATTCCTCAACAATAAGTGTATCAACTCTTATCGAAGTCATTGTAGGTGGATGTGTTGTAGTCTTGGTTCCAATTGTTGCTGGAATTTATTTTATTAGAAGGTGGTATAAAAAAGAACGCGACGGAAGTTTTACCATTCCCAAAACTGAGACTATATATTCTGTGAAAGAAATTGACGAAGAATATAATTTAGCAACAAGTGAAAAAAAACACGGCTTTGTTTTCACATGACCTATACAAATGGAAATACAATTTTCAACTTTGACATATAGAGAGAATTATTTAATTCTGTATTATTCGTTAATTTAGCATTATGTAACATAAATTACTATAAATTAATTCTTCAAACCTTTGTTTATTCAAGCAAAAAAATTAATATCTTAGCATAGTATGTTTTTACATCTGTATCTTATTACATTAGTTTATATAATACTATAATATAAATTAAATAGTAAAACTAATAAGACATTTATTAGATAGTTATTTAGCATTTTTTAATATTTTGTACTGCTGGCAGTGTATTTTACAAATCTATATAATTCCAAAAGATAATTATAAAAATGTTATTTTTTATTAGCCTGATGTATTATATGTCTAATAATTTTGAATTATTGTGTAGTTGTGTAGCTTTTGGTGTAAAGGCGTGGAAAAAATTTTCAATTGTATATTTTTTGTTTGAGAGCAGCTTTAATTATACAAGTACATATTTTGTACTAAGTGTATTCAAGGTTTTCTGTAGTATCTGTTGTTATTAGTACTTGGTATTCTGTTATATTAATTTTAACTTAATTAATAAATTCTTAGTTTTTTTTGATTATTAATTTATAGTTATATATTCTTCTTTTGCATCTGATTTGTTTTTAATTTTGAATATAGCAATAGAAATCTTCAAGTAGGTATTAATACTTAATAATTATTATTAGTTAATAATAATATGTTGTTCATTTTAATCCTTTTTAATGATTACTTAAACCAAACTAGCATCAAAACAGGTTGAAGAGTTAAGTTTTTAAATAGAAAACACCTTTGATTCTGCATTAATATATAAAGCAGATTGTTGCTAACAAACTAGAGATACATAAAAAAACCAAAATATAGATAATTTTTTTAATAGTTTGTGTTAAGATTAAACCTTTTCTTTAAACAGACTTATCAACATATTTAGTACTTAAACCAGAAAGATATCTTGAAAACAATAAAAAAAAAATTTGATTAAATATTGTTAGAAACTCAAAAATAAAACAAATAGCTAAAACATTTTTTTTAATTTAGTTTTTTATATATTATACTTGCTGATCTTTTTTGTCTTTTTTAGTATTTTTTTCATTTAAAAGTAGAAATTTGGCTTCATTTTTTTAAAAAATCAATATTGTTTATTATTTTCTTTTTTAGACAGTTATATATTATAATATGATTTAATAAAAATATAACAATTATATGTACAGCTTAACACATAATGTAACAAAAAACAAAAAAAAATTTAAGTTAAAAAATTATTAAATTAAAAATATATAATAATTTCTAAATTATATATATATAATTTTTATCTCTTTAGTATAGGTTAAAGTATAGTTAGATTCTTAGTACAGATAAAATATTAGTGATTTTATTATAACAGTTATAAAAGATATGCTTTTCAATATTTTTAGTTTTTTAGTTTTTTTTTTTTAAATATTAAGATGAGTATTTGTAACCTAAACTTTTATTGATATAGTATGTTTCAATTTTGTAATTATATTACAATAGTTACTGAGAGCAATTATAAGAAAAATATACAACTAATCACTTATATAACTTTAATTATTGTTTAATATAATCTGTCTAAGGTTTTACATTAGCTACTATATCTAGAATTTATTTATAAATCTTTTATTTAAATATTTTGGTTCTTGTATCTATTTACCTACTTATTCTACTAACTGTTTTAGTTTTTACTAATACAAATATATCATAGTTATTAGGTTTTTAAAGTAGTTCACTTATATAAGAAATTTTTAACTTTATATAAACTTATTAAAGCCTTCTGTTATTCTAATTTCTATCTGATCTAGTATTTTACTATAGCTAAGATTAATACTTGTAGTTAGGACAAACTATTAAACTACTATATCTTTGTAGAGTTTATACAACTCTAGTACTTCTTTTTACAATCTTACTAGTACTTTGTATATTTTTGCAAATCTTTTTATATTATCAATTCAGTTAGCTTTATATAGTATGACTTTATAACTAAATTGACTAGTAGTTGGATTAGTAGACTTTTTTATTTAGGAGTTTTTGACTATACAGATTACTTGCCTTAGATTTCTTTCTTTAAATTAAGAATTTTATAGATAATATTATCAAAAATTATACTACCTTTCTATTTAGAATTTTTTAAACAGAACTTTTTATTACAGTTTATACTTTTTGAATTTATTTATATAATCTTGTATACTTCTAATATTAGTCTTGATGCAATTAGAATTACAGAATTACTACACTAGATTTCATTTTAAGTTGCTAGTATCTAGCTTCTAATTACAATTTATATTTATTTGTATAATATTGCATATTTCTAATATTAGTTTTAATATAATCAGAATTACAAGATTATAATTCAAATACCTTTTTTAAGTTACCAAATTAAGACTATATTTCAAAATCTGCTACTAATAGAAGTTGAACTTTGAACCTATTGCTTGAAAGATAACAATCTAACTACTATATAAATTATTTTTCTTTTATAACTTTTTAGTTTTGTTTAGATTAAGTTTTTTTTTTATTTATTTCATTTTTTTATAAGTATTATCAGATTAGTAATATTCTATTGTAAAACAGTAACTAAGAATAACCTTTTAGATAGTAACTTATTATTGCTTAGTATAGTAAATCATTTCTGAATACTTTTAGAAGTAGTCAGAAAAGTTAAAACTTAAACATTAAGTTGTAATTATTATTTTTTTTAAAAAAATATTAAGGTAAGTACTTGTAACATAGGATTTTATTGATAGCATATTTAGTAAATAGTTGTATTATAATCTTAAAAATCAATTATAAAAAAAATATACAACTAGTCACTTGTATAACTTTGTTCTTCTAAAGGTTCTATACTAGTTACCATATCTGGAACCTGTTTGTAAGTTTCTTATTTTTTTTTTTTATTCTTTGACTAGTCTTGCCAAGATCTTTCAGTAGTCCTCGCATTTTTTGAACTAATGTTCTCAATATACTCCTGGATCTGAACCTCAACCTCCTCTGGTCTGTACTTTTAAACTTTTAAAAGTAACTATTACACTGATCCCTGCCAGTATCAGAAGTTCTTGCTAAGCTTTATCAAGAACTAGCTATTACCATGAGTTCATGTAATATCTCTCATTGTCAAACTTTCAGTCTCACATTACTTCTCATGACTTCAGTTATTCCAAATTGAGTTCTAACTCATGTCTATTACCAGATGGCTTTTCAATCACAGGTCACTTGCCTTTTCTAGAAATAAGTCTGTCTGATGATGCCTCAGGTTCCTGGTGCTGCAGTGTTGCAGTTTCCTATTTTAGAAATACATCTTTACAATTGCCATTACTAGGATTTGAATTGGCAAACTTGCGATTATGAGCTTGAAGCATAACTACTATGCTATCGACCTTAGAGGTCATAAGTTTCTTATTTAAATATTCTGTTTTCAAATTTACTTATTTATCTATATTTACAATAATTCTAATCAATACTAGTAAAAATATATTATAGCCACTAAGTTTTTAAAGTAGTTTATGTATATAAAGAACCTTTGACCTTATATTATAGTTTTCAAAATTTTTTGTATCCTATTTTTATAACTAATCTAGTAATGCTATAGCTAAAATTAATATTTGCAGTTAAAACATATTATTAAATTACTATACTCTTGTAAAGTTCACTTTAATTCTAGTACTTACTTTATAATATATTTTTATTACTTTGGTATTTAATTTAAGTTCTACTAAGCTTCCAGTTCAGATAATTTAAAAAGATAGATACAATTATACTTTTGGTTTATATATTTTTCTAATATGTAATCTTTTTTTAAAAACAGATTCTAGTATTCTGACTAGTTACAACAGTTTCTTACAAAAGACTAACTTTTCTTTATCTGATTTTCAAGTTCTAGCTCTATTTCATAAGTTTAGTCTTTACAATAATATTGTCAAAAGTTCAGACTATCTTTCTATTTAGATTTTTTAAATAAGCTTTCATCTTTTTGAATCTTATAATTTATATAGTATAAAAACTTATTACAGATTCATATTACCTGATACCAGTTTGTATTTCTTTATACAAAATATAACTATTATGTAAATCTATATGATCTTTTAGTTATACTGATATAATATAAGTAATCAGTATCTGATCTTAACCAATAGTTTAAGACAGTTAACTGTAATATAAAAAGAATTTTAAATTTTTGTTAACACTAAGATTTGAACTCTAGACCTTTACTTGAAAGTTAACAATATGTTATTTTACTATATTATTATATCTTTTAAGCTTGTAATTATTATAAATATAAAAATATCAAAGTTTATAATTTTTTTATAAAGGATACTAATATGGTTATTTAAATAAAAAAAATAATAATAATGAGTTATTTATTTTAAATTTAACTAAGTATAGTATTAATAATTTATTTACTTAGATATAATTTATCTTATTTTGATATTTGATGTTTTATTATATACTATATAAGTAGTTGTGCAACATTGTTATATAAAACCAGGAATAGAAAAAATCTACACAGACACTATTTTAGTTATAGAAAACCATATTCTTTATTGCAATCTATTTCTGATATAAGAAAATAACTCTTTATAAAAGAAGTTGATAGTACTTGCAATCTAAATATGGTTTAAGTTTCAATGACTGAGTCTAAAAACCTATTGTTATGAGTTTTATAACCAAGTTTAAAGACAGAGCAAATGTGATAGATTGTTGCTTAAAAAATAATTATGCTATGTAATGTTCTGCAAAGATATAAAGGCAGTTTTTTCAATTTGGCACAAGGTTGAGGTGATCAATGAGAAATGTTACAAAATGAGTATTATAATTTTTTTAAAAAAGCATATTGTATTGGTTCAAAAGAGCTTTTATTAGTTGTATTATCTTGTAGAAGCAATACAATTATAAAGACATAATGCCAGATTTGTTAAGACAAAATTAAAAAAACACAAGAGCATCTGGCATTTTGCATAAGACAAGCAAGTCTTTAGAAAAAAATA